AGAGAGACAGAGCATGAACGGGGGAGGGGCAGAGAGAGAGGGTGATTTTGATTTTTTAAAAGAAAATTTTTTTTAATGTTTATTCATTTTCGAGAGAGAGACAGAGAGAGAGCAGGGGAGGAGCAGAGAGAGAGGGAGACACAAAATCTGAAGCAGGCTCCAGGCTCTGAGCTGTCAGCACAGAGCCTGACGCAGGGCTCGGACCCACGAACTGTGAGATCATGACCTGAGCTAAAAGTCAGACGCTTAACCAACTGAGCCACCCAGGAGCCCCATTTTATGATTTTAGTTTTAAGTAATCTCCACACCCAATGTGGAGCTCAAACTCACAACCCAGAGATCAAAAGTCGAATGCTTCACCGACTGAGCCAGCCAGGCGCCCCTGAACTGGAAGGTTTTAGTCACTGAAAGATAAGCAGTCAAAAGACACAGGATGGATGGAGGTGGAAACAGGTAGCCATGAGCCAATCCTGTCAGTCCCTTTGTCGAGGGCTGCTTTCCCAGGGAGAGCTGCCACTGGGAAGCAGGAACATTCTATTGCGTCCCACCGTGGCCCCAAAGAGAGTCTAGAGAGTGCTAATTCCTCTCACAAACCCCTCTTCTCCCCAAATTCCCTTGAGGCTTGAGCCAGTGCCTCTGACCCAGGACAGCGACTGATGTGGGTGGGCAGGGTTCAGATTCCCAGGTCGTCACTTACTAGCTGTGCAAACTCTGAGCAAAATCTTCTATTTCCCATTGTCATTCTTCAAGCGAGGTGACAAATACTCACTTCCTAGGGCTGTGATGAAGACTCCATGAGATAAACATGTCATAATGCCAGTTTGTTCCATTTTCTTCACTCTCCCCTCACCCACCCACCCTGTTTACAAATGTGGCAGTGCTGAATCATGTGAGGATTTAATTCTCTTTGCCTCAAAGAGGATCCTACTCTCTGAACATGTGAAGACCAAAAAATGATGATACAGACTCTTATCTGTGGATTAAGTATGTTTAATAGGAGTGGTTGTCAGGAATCTCAAGATACCCTCCCCAGATTCTTGTCCCCTGGTTATTCAATCAAACACTAATCTAGGTCCCGAGGTGAAGGGGCTCTGCAGCTGTGATTAAGGTTATGAACCTTAAGATTTGGAGATCACCCTGGATTACCTAGTGGGCATGATCTAATCACCTGAGCCCTTAAAAACAGAAATTTCTCAGGGTGCCTGGGTGGCTCAGTCAGTTAAGCATCCAACTCGATTTTGGCTCAGGTCATGATCTCATGGTTCATGGGATTGAGCCCTGCATCGGGCTCTGTGCTGGCAGCGTGGAGCCTGCATGGGCTTTTCTCTCTCCCATTCTCTCTGCCCCTCCCCTGCTTGTACTCTTTCTCTCTCAAAATTAATACACATTAAGAAAAAAACCCAGAGGGGTGCCTGGGTGATTCAGTCAGTTAAGTGTCCGACTTCGGCTCAGGTCATGATCTCACGGCTCATGGATTCAAGCCCTGAGTTGGTCTCTGTGCTGACAGCTCAGAGCCGGGAGCCTGCTTCGGATTCTGTGTCTCCCTCTCTCTCTGCCCCTCCTCCACTCGCTCTCTGTCTCTGTCTCTCTCTCTCAAAAATAGATAAACATTAAAAATTCTCTGGCAGGAGTTAGATCTGGCAGTCAGAGAGATGAGGAAGGGGAAGTCAGAGAGACTCCAAACATGAGAAAGCTTTGACCATGGTTGCTGGCTTTGAAGATGGAGGTAGGGGCTGATGAGCCTAGGAATGTGGAAGAAGCTAAGGATGACCTGTGGTCAACAGCCAGTCATTAAACAGGGATCTTAGTCCCACAACTGCAAGGAACATTCTGGCCAACAACATGAAATAAGCTTGGAAGCTGATTCATCCCCAGAGATGTGTTCCTCTAGAAAGGAACACAGCCTTGTTGCCTTGATTTTGGTCTTGTGAAACTAATCAGTTGAGCCAACTCGGCTTTCTGACCTACAGAACTGTGAGACAGGGGCGCCTGGGTGGCTCAGTCAGTTAAGCGTCTGACTTCGGCTCAGGTCATGATCTCACAGTTTGTGAGTTCGAGCCCCGCGTCAGGCTCTGTGCTGACAGCTCGGAGCCTGGAGCCTGCTTAGATTCTGTGTCTCCCTCTCTCTCTGCCCCTCCCCCCCGTTCATGCTCTGTCTCTGTCTCAAAAATAAATAAAAATTAAAAAAAAAAAAAAAGAACTGTGAGACAATAAATGGCTCTTATTTTAAGCCACTGGATTTGTGACAATTTGCAATGGCAGAAATAGAAAATATGATAGGTACCAAAGCCCCCTTGATAACGCTAGGAGTTGGTACTAGGGTCTGAGCAAATCTGTAGCTGTAAGCTTCAAGAAGTCATGCTTGGTGAAAGTGAAAGCAAATTTATTTGCAGGTGAACAGCAACAACATTTACAAAATGTATTTTGTACAGTCAAGTCTGCACTGCCCTCACACACTAGGGGGCTAAGGAAGACCTAGTCCTTCCAACAGCTATAAACAGGCCTGGATAATGAGTTTATGAAAAACACTTTCTCTTCCTTCAGCACACAAAATTATTTATGAAGCTGTACAGTTCGGCAATAGGAAGCAAAAAGAAGAAAATTACCTCAAGGAAAGCAACAGCTCCTTTCCTGGTGGGAGCCGTCATTTTATAGACATGAAATATCCCTGTCAGAGATCTTGTATTTCAAGAAGAATGGGTGACATATCAGAGCTACAACAATAAACATTGTATTTATTTCTAATGGGGAATTAGAAGACCCTCTTTGGACATCAGTTCTTGAAAAGATTCTGCTATTTCAGAGCATATCAGTGCTAAGAAATCTTTTAGAAATCTGGATTTCTAAAGGGCAGGACGACTCCCTTTTCCTCAAACCCTCAAGGTTCGTATTTATA